TAGAATTCTGCCCTACATTTTTTTTTTTTTCTTTTTTTGAGACAGAGACTCACTGTGTTGCCCCGGCTAGAGTGCCGTGGTGTCATCCTAGCTCACAGCAACCTCAAACTCCTGGGTTCAAGCAATCCTTCTGCCTCAGCCTCCCGAGTAGCTGGGACTACAGGCATGCGCCACCATGCCCGGCTAATTTTTTCTATATATTTTTAGTTGTCCGATTAATTTTTTCTATTTTTAGTAGAGACGGGGTTCTCCCTCTTGCTCAGGCTGGTCTCGAACTCCTGAGCTCAAAGGATCCGCCCGCCTCGGCCTCCCAGAGTGCTAGGATTACAGGCGTGAGCCACCGCGCCCTGCCTGCCCTACACTTTTTTATTGTGTTGCCCTTGCCTTCTTTTCTTGGAGGAGAGGTTTATAGCTTCTCTGTTGAATGGTCACACACAAAAAGTCTAACAGCAAAATCTAACTGGGCAGCACTGTTTTCTGAGACATTCTCACATTGTTTTGTCTTTGTTCTCCACCCTGTCTTATTCTTTTCTTAAAATGTTTCCCTGCCTGGTGGTCATTAACACTTCCACATAATCGTTACCCTTTGGCCCAGATTTTTGACTTTTTCTTTCTCTGCTGTCACTTTGGCTCTTATCTGAGACCAGTTGTCTTGTTATTCAGTGACTTTGGTGTAAAGGGCGATAGCGTTTCTTGGATGCACCAGGCTCTGTTAACTATTTATCCTACTTCACCTCTTAAGACTCTGGGTTGATGGCAGAAGCAGAAAGTAGAATTTAAACAATAGGCTACCTGTTTGGCTCCCATGCCTAAGCGATTCATACCAGGCACCAGTTCAGGGGTTCACCTCCGTAGGATTGCGTATTAGTGCATAGAACAGGTGTGACAATGAATATATACAATTATACAAACGTTATAGAAATACATACAAGTTTCATTCACTACTCTCATCTGATATGACCTGAGTTTTGGGGCAAGGTGTAAACCAAGCTGACGTATCCAAAAGTGTTCAAACCATCTTACTTGGATTTATACATTTATCCAATCTTCAGAGATGTTCCTTTTTGTTCCTTTGTTCCAGGGTTCTGCCTAATATTTGCCTTGGTTGTCTTTGGGCTATGCCATGGTGCTACTTATTTCCCCACCAAAATCAGCCACCTCCTGTATATTACCATGACACCAAATAAAGGGAGTAGTTGGTGTCCTAGGCTACTTGTTGGGTACCTTCTTGTATTTTCCTCATGCGAGATAATCATTTTATTCTCCAGTGATCAAATTTAGGCAGAGGGCAAGAAGTTGATGTTAATTATCAGTATCTTAAACTGATTTACAGTTTTCACTGTCCTTGTTTTTTGTTTTTGGGGTTTTGTTTGTTTGTTTGTTTGTTTTTGGTTATAAAACATGTTTTTCTTCTTAAGCTTATTTTCAGCTAATGTACCATCGAAACTACTTTTAGCCCAGGCAACACAGTGAGACACCCTGTCTGTATAAAAAATTTAAAAATGAGCCAGGCGTGGCGGTGTGCACCTGTAATCTTAGCTACTGGGAAGGATGAGGTGGGAGGATCGCTTGAGCCCAGGAGTTTGAGGTTGCAGTGAGCCATCATAGTGCCACTGCATTCCAGCCTGGCAATAGAGCTAGACCCTGTCACAAAAAATCCACAAAATTTAGAAGGGTAATCCCCTTTTGTTAATTGAAAAAATTTTTTTTACTTGATGCTCATTTACTTTTCCATATGAACATAGAAACAAGCTAAATTTTTGTTGATTGGGGAAGGGATTGGTGGCTAGATGCAATATCTTTTGGTCTTTGACTTTCCCATCTACGAGTACTATTACTATGTTCCTTCAACTGTGCTTTCTTTTATAATCTTCTGTTTGTATGTTTTATAGTTTTATTCTTATCACTTTTGCATCTTTCTGTTTTTTAACAACTTTATTGAGATAACATTTACATGCATATTCTTTAAGAACATCTTTATTGGTATGTTTAATTCAAGCTTTAATCCAAACTTTTATTTGGTTCTTGTTGATATATATTAAAGTTATTCAGTCTTTAATATTTGTAAATATCCACCTGTTTTACTATCTTTAAAAGTACATTTTTCTGTGAATTACTTGAATATTCTAGAAAGACTATTATGTCTATAATAATTGTGTCTTACCATTTTAATACCATTTTTATATCATTGTCTATGTTTCAAATAGAACTATAAAACAGTTATGAAGTCTATATATCAGTAAGGGAAGTCAATACATATAGTGAAAAAATAATTAAATGTCCACATACTATTCATTGGCATTTTGAATAGAGACTATTTTTGCACAAACAGAACAAGAATGTGCATACTTTTCATGTTCTCCTCTGGCTTTTGGAAGTGGGAGAATTAAAAAGCTGTTTAAGGGCCAGACACAGTGGCTCACACCTGTAATCGCAGCACTCTGGGAGGCTGAGGCAGGAGGATCACTTGAGCCTCCTGCCCAGGAGTTGGAGGTTGCAGTGAGCTGTGATGATGCCACTGCACTCTACCCAGGGTGACCGAGTGAGTCCCTGTCTTCCCCCAAAAGTAAAACTGTTTAAATACTTGTATTTTCTGTTTCCTATATACATATACTATAACTAGAAGCTAGATTTGCCTGCTGTAGCAAAAACATTTCTTGGGCTTTGAGTTTCCTCTACCCATATCCTGAGAATATAAAAATACTGTCACCTACATTTGCCTCCTGGGACATTACAACAGTAACTTTTGCAGAACAGTCTCTTTTCTCTCCACCAACATGGCTAGTGCATTTAAATCATGTTTTACTTTGCTAGATGACTAATATTGTGGATCATATTTGCATATACTTATCATCTGCTTATTCTCTTGTGAAGTGCCTGTTTAATTATTTTTTTGGCCAATTTTCTATTGTGAAAATTCTTTATGTATTTTAGGTATGAATATTTTGTTAAATATATGTATTGTAAATTTTTTCTCATGCCATCTTGCTTGCCTTTATACCTTGATAATCTCCAGGTTAATGTTTTAATGAACAGAAGTTTTAATTTTAATATAGTCCAAATTCTTAATTCTTTAATTCATAATTAGCAAATTTGGTTATCTGTTTTTAAACGATTTACCTGCTGCTCCAAGGCCATGAAGATATTTTCTTCTAAAAACTATTGTTTTATTTTTCATATGTTGATCTACAATATAACTCAAGTTGGTCATGTGAGGTAGGGCTCAAGATTCATTTTTATCCATATGGGTATCTACAGTGCCGTTTATTGAAAGGGCTATCCTTTTTGCACTGCAAGTCACTTTCTCTGTCTTTGTTCCTTTTCTTGGTTCTTTGCATTTCCGCATAAACTTTGGAACAATTTGGTCAAACACACACACAAACACACCCCCCAGAAAACCTCTGATAGGGTTTTTGTTTTTTTGCTTTGGGTTTTTTTTGTTTGTTTTGTTTTGTTTTAAGAGATTGGATCTGGCTCTGTTGTCCTGGCTGGAGTGCGGTTGCGAAATCACAGCTCACTGCAGCCTACAGCTCCTGGGCTCTAGCAATCCTCCCACCTCAGCCTCCTGAGTAGCTGAGATTATAGGTGTGCGCAGATGTACCCAGCAGATGTAATACTTAAGCAGCTTATTGAACATAGATCTGAATTTAAAGGCAAAGCTCCTAACCACTATTCGTAACTTTTCACTGTACACTGAAAGAAATTTAGAAAATGTAGAAAAAACACAAACATCACGACTAAAAAGTATTTTACCATTTCCAATACAAAGGCTTGATTAATATAAATTTGTTGTTAATTTGACAACTTGAAAATTAATTGGTATAATTTTGTTTGATACAATATATATCATTTTGTATTTGAGGTTTTTGAAAGCAATGTGTTCTTATTTGGCTGTAAAAGGACATATAAATATAGAAAAAATTTTAATATAAATAATTGTGTTTAGGGGGAAGGTCCTAAAGCCAACTCTACTCAAGGAATGCCTTGGTAGCAATGATTGTTAACCATCTGGAGTGACAGAAGAAAGTGATATTGGGTAACTAACGTCTTAAGAAGTTTCATCTCAAATTTTGTAATATTATAGCAACAAAATATTGATTATGCTATTGGTTGCTCCATTTTGGTCACATGGGTGGGCAATTGCATCATGAACTAATTATGTACTGATTAATGTGGTCAATCTTTCTGCTCTGTAAATTTGTGATATATGGAGGGGGTTTTCAACAGTTGGATGGTTTTATGTAGTAACAACTTTTCTATAGAATTTTTTAAAGTAAGCACTAGGACCACTGGGCAATATTTTATATAGTTCTGAAGCCTTTTTCTCATCCTAAGGGTATGATACAGTGTGAGATAAATGTATGAAAATTCAAAATTAATTGTTGTGTTTTGCATTCACCACATTAACTGGACCACATTAGTCTTCTAAATGAGTATATTGTATCCTTCTGATAGCATGGAAAAATCATAGAAATTGCAGGGACATTACTTTATGTATATTTTTCTATATAGTAAAATGAGTCACCCAAAAGAAAAATTCGGAACTGTCCTCAGATGGCCAAATTTTACTATTCAAGTTTATTTTTAATGTGGGGAGCTCTTGGTTATTTCCATCTAACTACATTTGTCCTGTTGTGACATTTGTGGAAGTACACGGCAGGTAGTTAAGTTTTCCACCGGGCCCTCTGTTGTCTCTTGGTGCAAACTGTAAAACAGTGAAATAAAATACAGAGTGCTTTGTACTACATTTACAAAAAATAATCACATACCACAGATTTCTGTTCTGTCTGTTGTTAGTCATGTAAGCCGGGATACTCTTGTGATGAGCCGCATGGAGGCAACTATTGAGACAACGGAAGGTCCTATAAGCTTCAACCCCTTGAGAAATAGTAATTTAAAAAACCCTAAAACATAATCATACAGAGCTTTAAAAGGAATATCCATTGCATTTGAATTTAGGATACTTGTTTTCCATAGATAAATGCATTCTATTTTTCCAGGTTTTAAGACGAAGCAGTGATGAAGAAAAAGTTCTTTGTTTGGTCCGGCAGCGTACTGGCCACCACTGTCCAACGGCTGTGATGGTGGTGCTCATCATGGTGTGGGATGGCATTCCTCTTCCCATGGCTGACAGATTGTACACGGAGCTTACTGAGAATCTAAAGTCATACAACGGTCATCCCACAGACCGAAGATGCACCCTCAATGAAAAGTAATTAAATCTGTTTGTACTGCTTTGCCACTCAGACCTCCCTTATGTCATGGTATCCTGGTCAATTGTGAAGCAGCTACCAACTAAGTATATTTTCGTGTTTCCTTTTAGTGCACTTAGTCTTCATTTAGCCTCCTCCATAGGTTCTTGGAAACTGTGACTTGAAGTGAAATGATGTACAGCAGGTCCTTGAATATTGTTCAACATCGCTTAATTGTAACATTGATGAGAAAAAGATTAGTTTCATTATATCTTGTTTGAAGAACCTATCGACGATGATAAGCAAGGATTCAGTGTACTTGTTTAAAATGTAAATTTTTGAAATGTGAATCTTTCATACATCTTATGTGTTTGCTGATGAATTGTGGGAAGAAGAGATCAGTTTTCATCCCTTTTTCCACTTATCCCAACACTGCTTACTAAAGAGTACATCTTTTCCCCTTGATTTGAAATGTTGCCTTTACTGTATGCAAAAATTACATATAAAATTGAGTCATCTCTTCGATTTGAATTCTGTATCTCAGGGATTTGTCCTGTCTTTGCAGATACTAGTACCAAATTTACTTATAGTGAACTGAAATCCTTACGATATTGAGTCTTCTGATCCAATAACATGACTTTTATTTCCATTTGTTCGATTTACTTTTGTGTCTTTCAAGAGTATTTTATAGTTTGTTTCATATAAGTCTTTTTAAGAAAAAAATAGTCATTATGCAAAATAGAAACAAAAGTCATCTCCTCCCCAATCCCCACACAAGATTTTTATACATTCCATAGTTTTCCTTTATGTTTATATCATCGTTTCCTTATAATTTACTTATTTTTCCAATATCACAATATATATAATTTTTAAAGCCTGCTAATTATTTTGCTATGTTTATGTACAATAATAATACCTCTTGTGTAAAGTCAATGCTCCAAAAATTATATATATATATTCTTATTTGATCTTCCTAGTAATCAAATAAAATAAGTGTTATTCTATTTCATTTAATGTAGATCTAGCATACCATTTAAAAAGAGCTTCAGAGACCAGCCTGGGCTGGGCGTGGTGGCTCACGCCTGTAATCCTAGCACTATGGGAGGCCGAGGCAGGCGGATCATTTGAGCTCAGGAGTTCGAGACCAGCCTGAGCAAGAGCAAGACCCCATCTCTACTAAAAAATAAAAAGAAATTAGCTGGACAACTAAAAATATATATAGAAAAAATTAGCCGGGCATGGTGGCACATGCCTGTAGTCCCAGCTACTGGGAGGCTGAGGCAGGAAGTGCAGGCCATCCCACACATGCTCAACCATTCCTCCTGCCTTGGCCTCAGAGTGCTAGGATTACAGGCATGAGCCACCTGGCCTGGCCCTGAGTTTGTGGATATTTTAGATCTGTATTGTTTATTCCCATTTCTTTGTGTTTACAGTCTTAATATTTTAGGTAAAAATTTGGTTATGATCAAGTATAGTTGGTGTTTTATTGTTGGCATAAAACTACTTTAGATTAAATAAGTAATAAAATAGGTAAGTGTCATAACCAGTTCATTAGCCATCTATACTTCTAAAGTTATATAAACGTGAAATGTGTCTGAGATATTGTCCTGATTCATCAGTTCACTCCTTTGCAATTACCATCTTACAGTCGTACCTGTACATGTCAAGGAATTGATCCAGAGACTTGTGGAGCTTCATTCTCTTTCGGCTGTTCATGGAGTATGTATTTTAACGGGTGTAAGTTTGGTAGAAGCCCAAGCCCCAGAAGATTTAGAATTGATCCAAGCTCTCCCTTGCACGTAAGTGACCTTTATATTTTCGATTTACACAATAAATATGTAAGTACGTTCCTTTAAAGCTCTTTTGAAACACTAAAAAAATTAAATATTAAAAAGTAGTAATAAAATAGTAAAAATTTATTTATATATGTATAAGTAAATAATTTAAAATTCTAAATAAATTAGGTAAAGTCATTAGCTAATCAACCCAAATTCCAGTTGTCCTGGGCTTCCTCCTCCTGCTCTGCTCCCCTACCCCAGAGGGAATCATTGTTAAAAGAGTCTAGAATTTTATGCCCAGCCAAAGTAGGAAAAAGCCATTTGCCAACATTTCAAAGACTCAGAAAGTTTACTACCCACAGACCTACTATGAAAGAATTACTAAAGGACGTAATCCAGAAAGAAGATATATGAAACCGGAACGAATCTGTCCGGGACACGAGGCCATGGTGAGCAAAGAAATTAGTCAAATTTGGTGTTAAGTTTAAATAAGTTGAGTAGAACCTATACGTATAATTCCATACCTTTATCAACTCTCGGGTGGGTAGGCAGTGGGGAGTGGTTGGGGCACAAATAGGAACTAAGTATGGTAATGTTGTTGGCTTTGTTTGGGTGGAGAAGATTTACATATTGATTAACTCTAAAATTGGTGTGTTTTAATCGTTTAGCAGTGACCAAGAGTAAAAAACACTTTATATTACAAACAAATGTATAAATACATACACACAAGAAAATAATTAAAATAAGACTAACCGAAAACAGTACTTATTCTTCTTACATGTAACAGTACTAACATTAAAATATAAAGAAAATTAATGTCAATATAATTTCTAATCTCTATTATGGATTATAATACTTTAAATTAGATTTCATTTCTTTTTGAACTGTTAGTTTTGATCTACTAAGCTGATTTTATGTCCCACTAATGAGTCATGACCCAAAGATTAGAAAACATACATTTGACAAAGTGTATGTTAAATTTTTTTAATTAGTAGCAATAGAATTTATTTCTTTTCAACTAGTGGGAAAAAATTTTTTTAAAGAAAACAATCAAGGGCCTGGCATGGTGGCTACTGCCTATAATCCTGGCACTTTGGGAGGCCTGGGGGGGAGGATCGCTTGAGGCCAATAATTCGAGACCAGCCTGAGCAATATAGTGAGATCCCATATCTATAAAACAGAGACATTAGCTGGGCATGGTGGTGGGCATACCTGTAGTGCCAGCTTCTTGGAAGGCTGAGGCAAGAGGTTCTCTTGAGCCCAGGAGTCTGAGGTTGCAGTGAGCTATGATGATACCACTGCACTCTAGCCTTATATTCTATAAGTCAGTGAAGGGAGATAAAGAAATCATTAGCATGCATGGTAAATAGAAAACACCAAATTAAACAGCAGAAATTAATCAAACTATGTATGGATAATATAATTAATATAGTACCTTTCAAAAAAGCTCACAACTAAATAATATTCCTGTTATAGACATAATCAAAATTATTTAGCATTTTATAGAGTTTCTAACTATTGCAATAAAACCAGGAAGTGGCTCAAAAGAGAGGGAAGTATTTGTAAATAATGTGATTTTCTATCTAGAAAACACAAAATAACCTACTGAATATTATGACTATTAATGAGTTTAACAAGATGGCAAGATACAAGGCTATCTTGTTAAAAATCAATTAACTTTCATGTCTACCAGTCATAATCATTAGGAAACATGACATTAAGAGTCCCATTGACATTAGCAACAAAATCTATAAAATACCTCATAAGAAGTCTATTGGACTTGATAACGGGAAGGTACATATTCAAGGATCAGGACACTTGATAATGTGATGTCAGATGTTCCTTAAAATTAACCAACTAAGTTTTCTTTCTAAATATTATATGATGAAAGTATAATATCTGTTACTATATAAATACAAGGGGTCTTCAAAAGTTTCATGGAAAATAGGTATTATGAAGATACTATGCATGGATTTCACACTTACCTACACCAAAATAAACTTGTACTAACTTGTTACAACATATCTGAACAAAATTTAGTTTGAGGCACTAGAAAGGATAAGACATCAGTTCAAAAAGAGCCCCTGTCAGAGCAACATGGATTCTGCTAAGATTGAAGCAAGAACAAAGATCAAGCTTATGGTGAAGCTTGGGTCAAAGAATGGTGAGATCATCGATGCTTTATGAAAACTTTATGGGTACAATGCCCCAGAGAAATAAGCAGTTTACAAATGGATAATTTGTAGAATCCATTAAGACAAATGGATAATTTGTCTTAAGAAGGGAAGACATGATGTTGAAGGTGAAGCCCACAGCAGCAGACCATCTACATTAATTTGCGAGTAAAAATTTCATCTTGTTTGTGCCTTAGTTGAAGAGGACTGACAATTAAGAGCAGAAATTATAGCCAACACCATAGATATCTCAGTTAGTTCAGCTTACAGAATTTTGACTGAATTAAAGTTCAGCAAACTTTCCATTTTATGGGTACCAAAACCATTGTGCCTAGATCAGCTACAGATGCGAATGGAAATCTTATACAAGTGGGATCGAGATTCTAAAACATTTGTTTGAAGAATTACGGGAGATGAAACGTGGCTTTGCTAGTAGGATCCTAAAGAAAAAGCACAAAGCAATGGCTACCAAGAAGCGGAAGTGGTCCAGTGGACTAAGTCAAGAGCAAAGGTCATGGCAACAATGTTTTGGGATGCTGATGGTGTTTGGTTTGTTGACTTTCTGGAGAGCCAAAGAACAATAACATCTGCTTATCATGAGAATGCTTTGAGACAGTTAGCTAAAGTTTAGCAGAAAAAAGTCCAGAAAAGCTTCACCAGAGAGTCCCTCGTCACCACAACAATGCTCCTGCTCTTTCCTCTCATCAAACAAGGGCAATTTTGCAAAACCTTTCATGGGAAATCGTTAGGCATCCACTTTACAGTCCTGATTTGCTTCCTTCTGACTTTTTGTTTCCTCACCTTTTTTTTAAAGGCTAGTCAGATGAAGCAGTGCGAAGCAGTGCGTGTGGAGAAGGAACAAAGATATCTGTAACTGGTTGTGATCAATTAGTTGTAAACACCACTGCACTCAGACCAGCCTCATTTCCTAATCTTAAAATCTATAAAGGGTTATGTTGCCCAGGCTGGCCTCGAACTCCTAGGCTCAAGCAATCCTCCTGCCTCAGCCTCCCTAGTAGCTGGGACTTTAGGCATGCCACCTCACCCAGCTATCTTTTTTATTTTTATCTTTTAATTGTATTTCTCCACAAACTTTTTGAAGTCCCCTTGTATATTAGTAATACTGAAATGACTATTAAATTTTTTGCTGTTAGAATAATACTGTTATACAATTAACGAACGTGAGATCAGTTTTTGCTTATGGTTAGCATTAATAATGAGTAACATTTGTAAGTGCTTATAATACAGGAAGAAGCATGGCTCATTCCAGGACCTGTCAGAAGGCCAATTTGACTGAAGCTGCACAGGCAAGGGAGAGTGAGGTACATGCAGCTGCCCTGTGAGCCATATCAAGAATTTTATTAGATCATTGAAGGGTTTTAAGGCGAGTGACATAATTAGATGTGTCTTTTGATGAGATCTCTCTGGTGATCTTCAAATAATTGATTGGCCAAGGGTGGACTTGGCAAGATGAGCCAATTATCTATGAGAACAATCCCTCAAAGGACAATGGTGGCTTAAACTGTGTGGTGGTGCTCTTCATTGACATGGAGCACACTGAAATAGGACCACATTTGCAGAGAGGAGATCATAAATTCAGTTTGGACATGTCGGTTTTTAGGTTCCTAAAGGAAATCTAAGTGGGGATGTCAGGTCAATAATAATATGAACTGGAGGTGAAGAGATGGTCTAGGTGGTAATGATAGCCATATGTGTGGACATCATGGTCCTAGAGGTTAGATATAGAGTGAGAAGCACAATGGGATATAGTCTTGAATACCAATAGGTAAAGACCTGATAAGAAGCTACTCCTCTAGGCCGGGCGCGGTGGCTCACGCCTGTAATCCTAGCACTCTGGGAGGCTGAGGCGGGAGGATCACTTGAGGTCAGGAGTTCAAGACCAGCCTGAGCAAAAGCGAGACCCTGTCTCTACAAAAAAAAAAGAAGAAGCTGCCCCTATATGTGATGTGCACATTCATTCTAATGAAACAATTAGAAATTCAGAGCTTTTATAATATGAATAATGAGCCTCACAATAATAAAATGATGCCAGTAGTCAACTATACAAGCTTTGAGTTATTTCTGTTTGCCTACTTAATTTTAATACTCTCACACAATAAATGAGATATTTCAAGGTGACAGACCACTCAGTTTGATTTGTGATGTTGAATGGCCCATGATAGAATAGATATAACTATAAAATATAATAAAATTATGTGAGAATATTGAAGAACATAAACCTAATAGTGCATAAGAATTATGGAATTGGCATGTGACTTTTCCAATGTTTATGTCAATAGCAATACACAACTATTAACATTTCCCTGCTTTATTCTATTAGCAATAAAACATAATTATCCACCCCACACAATATTTCCAGGGTTAGAAAACACAATTAAAATTGTTTTCATGGGTCTTTAAATGATTCTAAATTTTGTCCTCAATAAATGCAGTAATTTATGTGCAGGTACAGCTAGGAAATGTCTTTAAAGTAGAATCATGGTTTTCCCGACTTTTTTAAGCTACTGCAAGTAACAGATACAAAAGTAGATAGACGAACAGACTAATCTAGAAATTGACCCTTTGGATTTTTTTGCATAATAAAAGGATCAACATAAAGCAGCAGGAAACCAAAAAGGTTATCCGTGATGCTTTATAGTTGCCAAGATTGAGGCTTGTCAAAAATCACTACAGAACCGACTTCCTATGTCTGCATTTTTTCGTGGCTTTGTCTCATAATAATTTGATGACTACCAGATGTGAACTGATTTACATGAAGATCTTCTTTCTGTGTTTGTGACATCTCCATCTACTCCATCTTACATGGGTGAAAGCCTCAATCTTTTTTTAGTCCCTTCTCCATCCTTGCTCTCTATTCCCTTTCAATTGACGTCTTAGATCTGACTGTTCATTTATCAATTCTCTAACTTTAAGTAGAATATAATCATTTCTGAAAAACTTTCCCTGGCCTCTCAGCTATTCTTATTTGCAAAATCTCTCTTCTCTGTTTCATTTCTCATACTGGCATCACTGACATTTTTAGTAGAGACTCTTCTTGTGATAGTTTAGGAACATATCGATTATATGTGAGATAGAATCTGATACATAGTATGTGCTTTATATATGTCCTCTCCCTTCTCTGTTACAGAAAGTTGTCGAATTGTATCTGAATTGTTTACCTTGACATCTCCCCTTAGCAGCCGGAACCTTGTCTTCATTTATTCAAAGTGCTGAGTACTATTGAATAAATATAAAATAATGATTCTCATTCTTAACAACACAAACAGTTTTGTAACTTACCTCTAACACTAAATTTCTAATTAACTTATAACAAAATAGTCATTTCAAAAGACTTAAAGCATAACAATTTCTAATAGTGTAGATTAAGAAAACATGTTATATTTTCTATGGTATCTATTTTGTCAGGGTAAGTATGAATTGTGCATCAAAGACTATCAGCAATGATTTATGATTCAATTCATACCTTAAACTCACTTTATATCATAAAATAACTGATATAGATTGCCTTTTCCTATAGGAAAAAAACCTTGAAGATAACCTACAGAGTTTGGCTACGCAATTAGCTCCTATTTATAAGCAGTATGCTCCAGTTGCTTACCAAAATCAGGTATGTTTTGGAACCTTATACATTGCTCTTAAGCATGGTTGAATTTCTTTTTTTTGAGACAAGGTCTCACTCTGTCTGTCGCTCCCGGTAGAGTTCAGTGGCATCATTATAGCTCATTGCGACCTCAGATTTCTGGGCTCAAGCTATCTTCCTGCCTCAGCCTCCTAAGTAGCTGGGACTACAGGTGTGCACCACCACACCCAGCTAATTTTTTTTTGTAGAGATAGGTTCTCACTATGCTCACTATGTTGCTCAGGCTGGGGTTTTTTTGTTTGTTTGTTTGTTTTTTCTAACTTTTCCCCCTGGACATAGAATCAGGCTGGTCTTGAACTCCTGGGCTCAAGGGATCCTCCCACCTCAGC